AGTTACATAACCAAAGCAGATCTATAATTACCAGCCATCTCCAGTGAAGCCAAGAAAACCAGTTAGGCACCCTAGGCATTTGTGAAAATTTGTCTATGATATGATGGATATTGTCCAACTGTACTTGGACAGTCTGAGAGAAATCAGACAAATTAAAACAACCCATTCCTGGGAACTGTTCACATCCCATATGTTCTTTTAACCGTAGATAGTCTGTAGTTGTAAGATTTTAGAGCGCTACAACTTGCACTTTTCCTAATTCTTGGTTGAGTTCCAAGTCAAATTTGTTATTTTACTGTATGCACAGGCCAGCTTAGATATCTCCTTCTTCATTCCAATGGCAAGTCCAGGAAATGGTGGGATGGATGCAGCTACAACTGCAGCATCACCTGGATCTTTGTGGAGGTTTTTTGATGATCATCTTCTGGTATGAGTCTTCCAGAGAGTGCTGATGTTGGAAGTGCTTCTTCATATCGTATGTTGGTTCATTTTCTGGGTAGCCAAATTAGGCTTTGATCTTCTGTATAAACACACAGAGACCCTTTGCCCACACTTTGATATGCCCTTTATACCATTGTGTAGAAATCATTGGAGGTCACCACACACGAACTGCTTTTTTTTTTTAAAGAGAAAGGAATATTATCAGAAAAGTGTACCTCCATAGCCAATCATCTGACACCCTTTAAGTGATCAAAATTAAGGATATTTAAAGCATATGCAGAGATAATTTTTACATAGGCCATTTAGACCCTTCTCCATGCAGGTTAAGTGGAAAAATTATGTTGCTCTTGACAAATTCAGATACGTGTACCTAAAACAAGCAGTTGATATGTCATCATTCATCTATGACTTCCTATTGTCACTGGGGGAAAGTCTAACTCTTGCATTGGTACACAAGACCCTTCCCAACCCAAATCCTGCCTTACCTCTTCAATCTCTCCTCTAGACTCTCTCCACATACATCTTTCACTCTCATCAACTACTTGCAGTTCCCAGGGGTCTCATGATGCTGTGCCTTTGAATATGCTGTCCCTGCTACCCCAAATGCCCTCCTCTGATCTTCCCTGTGCCCACCACCAGTCTTTTTCAATCTGCCCAGGCACATTTCCTTCAAGAAGCTTTCCCTGTCACCTCACCTCCCATATTCCTTAATCAGGTGCTGCCGTATTATCCATACCTACCTCTGAGATAAAACTTACTGTTGTGTTAATATTGCCCATTTACTTGCTTGTCTTTTCCTCTTAAGTTTCCTAAAGGCAGTATCATAATTAAATATTCTCAATGAAAAGGCATTAAATATACATTAAATTATATTTAATGCATAAAAAATGCATTAAATATACTAAACATAATCACTCCGTATGGCAGCATTACGGATTTTCTAAATCTGCTTTGTACTGTGTTTTCTGAATTTAAATTTGCATGAAATGTTTCATAAATTGTAAAGAAATGTTTTTAATGAAGAAGAAACAATGAATATTTTAATGCAAATTCCACTGGAATCCATTGGCCAGAGCAGTTTGCAAACTAAGGCAATGATAGCATGTTCCCTTCCACTCTGCATGATATGTGTGCATGAAGAGGAATAATGAAAATAAAGTCAGACACGAAGCCTGCAAGGACAAAATACAGCAGGACAGCAAATAAATAAGGCAGTTAGCAACTAAGTTTTTTTTTAAAGTCTCTTCCTGTCACTCAGATCTCTCTCTTCTCAAGTTCCAAGGTAAAGTGCCAATCTATATTATCAAAGGCATGAGTGTGGATAATTTTTAGGGTGGAAATACCTCTGGTAGTTTCCAAAAATGAATCTGTCAGGCTGCCTAGAGTATGTTTGTGAAAGCCCACAAACATGAGAAGGTGCTCTATTAAAACCCAACCAGGTCCAACAAGGACACCTTATGATATAGACATAAAAGAACTTTCACAAAACTTCTGTGTTAACACCATTTTGTCAAGACCTTGTCACTATTTTTACAATTTCAGAAATGAAGTACCTGGGTCATCAATTCTAAACCCTTTTTTGAACTCAGATTGTAAGTTATTTATACAGTATCAGCATTAATTTTTCTCCACTAATTCAATCAACTTAAAGTTTTAACTAAATACGTATTTCCCTTAATTTCCATATGCAATTCTAGAAGTGTAAATTTTGAATACATAACAGTAATTCTATCAGTAGTGCACCTTACAGTTTAGAACTCTCATTCACCACTATTATTCCAAAGAGTATATTCAATTTTGAGAGGAAAAACCTGTGACCCAGAGGCTTGCTCAGCTAGTCGTGGCATTACTGAAGAATAAATATAAGCCTCTCACCTTCCAGACTGGCACATTTACCAATAATTCTAAACAATTGTCTATCCTCCTTAGATGATTTTAGATAGATCTAGATTATAAAGTTAAAGGTATAGGTATAGAAACTTACTTTGGGTTTCACTAAGCAAATATTTACCTCTGCCTACTTAGGGCTAGTATGTTATTAAAACTGCTTGTTAAACCTTCTATCTTCCCTACTAGATTCTAACCTGAGAGGCAGGGGCCTTTTTTCTATTCACCAGCATAATCCCAGAGCCTACTAAAAACAGCACTAACAGACTCAAGAGAAATATGTGAGCTTTCTCAAGGAGATTGGCAGGCAGTCCCAGCACTCGCGGTCAAGCCCGTCCCAGAGTCCAGGAAGACGGGTCTCAAGTGTGAACTGGGGCTGAGCCACAGTGGGCTGCAGAGAACGGGTATGAGATTGGCATTGGGAAGATTTTTGCTGTTCGTGCCTTAGCTGGGCAAGAATACCCAGCTAAAAGCACGGACGCGGATGACTGAGGCCGGTTTCTACCGCCGACCCTACCACCTACCACCGCGCACCGCCCAAACCCACCTTCTCCCGGCCCGCCGCCCCGCCACGGCCACCCAACCCTCACGCCCCCGGAAGTTACCCGTTGCCGCCGCCTTTACGTAACTTCCGGGCAGGACTTACTTCCGAGGCAGATGCGGAAGTGCCGGGAGTCCGTGCTGCCGGTGCTCCGTTCTGGGGTTATGTGACCCCGCTGTCCGCTTTGGGGACGTTCTGGAAAGATGGACTCCTAGAGGCCCGGTTCCGCCGGCCCAGACAACACGAAGCCCGCGCCCCCGCCTGCTGCCCGGCCCGGGAACTGATGCCGGCCGCGCCCTTGAGCCCCCGTAGCGGGGCCGCACCATGAGCCTGCTGAGCGGCCTGGCCTCCTCGCCGCGGGCCCCGCCGCAGTCCAGCAGGGCCAGGATGAAAAAGCTCCCGAAGAAGAGCCAGAACGAGAAGTACCGGCTCAAGTACCTGCGGCTGCGCAAAGCGGCCAAAGCCACGGTGTTTGTGAGTCCTACCGCTCAGCCTT